GTCTGTCTTGATTCCTTTTTTCATTCTAGCCACTTCTTTCTCTCTCCAGTGCAGGTCTCACAACCTATAAAGGAATCCCCTCTGTCATTCAAGAACATTCTTTGGAATTTATCTACACACCTAATTTTTAGACAAGCCTGGTATTCTAGCAAACCGGAACCAATTATTTCCTCAGCACATCCCTGGATGGTTCATTCATCGTTTCGTCCTTTTGTGGGATAAAGATGAGCATCTTCAGAATGTGCCTTTCACCACTGCTCACCATAAAACCACCACCACTTCCTACATCCTTTAAAAACAAGGGCAAGGCTCTCCCAGGCCAACAAATGAACACAGTTAAGTGCCAAAGTGGTGGGTGATGTTCCCAGGGTGCTGAGTTAAAGCAAATGCTAAGGTTCTCTGCAGAGCTATTTCCCAACCCTGACTATGCACAGTTTCTACAGAGGAGACCCTACCTCACATAGCTTCAGGGTCAAACACGGTAGAACATACAGAGAGATGATTAACATACTAGGAGCAAGCAGACATGAAACCGCAAGACGATTAACATTCCCCAAACTGGAGCCAATGGAACCACTTGTAAAAGACTACAAAATAAATATATTTAAAACAGTACAAGACATTAAAACGATAAAAATCGTAACAAAACCCCAAGAAATCACGAAATTAGGGCAGAGAGACATGAAATGCAAGCATGAGATAGTCTTCAAATTAGCAAACTATATAAAGCCATTAAAATTTACAATGTAAGGAGCAGGTCCGACACTTGCTGGCAAAGATATACTTTAAGGAAATCACTAGGAAGCAGCACAAATGAAATTGTAATTGCAGGTCCGACACTTGCTGGCAAAGATATACTTTAAGGAAATCACTAGGAAGCAGCACAAATGAATAAAGTATTAAAAACTATGAAAGAGAGGTTAAGAGACAAGGAGGTAGGAATGAAGATGACATACAGATATATAGACAGACACATGTTCACGTATGTACATGTGTGCATGCATATGTAAAACATGTTTCAAGGGAAAGGATGGAGAAAACAGGGCTGTACAATCTGAAGAGCATTTTTGGCTGAGAATTTTTCAGAACTAAAGAGAAACCTTAATTTTCTATTTTAATGTTAAAGAAAAAACCCCAACAAATCACAAAACAAATCCCACAAGGAGCTTTCAGACATTAAATAAAAATTAACCCATTCTCAGAAAACTTATGATAGACATGCAGAACAACCAAGAAAAAATTAAAAAAATTAAGCATAGCTAGACAGAAAGAAAAATAGTACACTTAAAATGAGATGAAAATTAAACTAATGAATAAATCCAGGCACCATCAAGAAATGCTGAAGGACAGAGGTGTGTTACCTTTGAAGTACTGAGAAGACATAACTATTAATTTAAAATAACTTAATGTAGTTAATACATTTTTTGGCTAAGCTATAATTCAAGAGAAAGAGTAAAACTGAGGTATTTTACGACAGTTTTCTCACTCAAGGGCGCATCTGAAAGTAACATTAAAGTTGTACAGTAAGTAAAGCTAAGTTACACTAAGTAACACTAAGGGTGTACTTCAGGAAAAAAGACATTGTATCAGCAGGGTGGGTGAAATGCAAAAAGCAATGCTGAACAAAGAAACCAGCAAATTTGTGGATAAATAAAAACAAGTGCTGACTTATCTATAAGTAGCAAAATAATGCAAATTTACAATGACCACTAAGGTGATGATTAAAAACAGGTAGAAGTAGAATAGTGATCAAGGAAAATGGAAGATGGGTGAGGACGGTTTGCATTAAAATATCCTGGGATCCTTGTTTTGTTCTCTTGGGATATTCTTCAACTTTGGAGTTTGTTATAACACAGGTCAATGTTGAATGCAGGGTAAAGGCAAGACATACTGTGTCTGCAAGTTAGCTACCCAACATATAACTGTCCTCAAACTGATCCATGCATTGAATGCACTCTCAATCACAATTTCAGAAGGATTTTTCTTGTAAATAGAGATAAGCTGATTTTAAACCTTAAATGGACAGGCAAATAAGTTAGAAAAGATAAAACAATTCTGAAAAATAATAAAGTTGGAAGAGTGATACGACTTTTAAGACTTCGTATAAAGCATTAGCAAGCAAGACCATATGATATTGGCGAAGGAACAATAGACCAATGGAATGGAAAAAAAAAGTTCCAAAATTCACTCACACAAATACAACTATGGCCAGTTCCTTTTCAGCACCAGGGAAGGAACCCAGGGCCTTATGCATGCTAGACAATCACTGTACCACTAAGCTATGTCCTTCGCCCAAGTTGATTATTTCTGATAAAGGTACAAACTAATTTTATGGAAAAAGATAATTTTTTTTTGTTTGTTTTTTTGAGACAGGGTCTCACTATGTGGTTGAGATTGACCTGGAACTCACTATGTAGCCCAGTCTGGTCTCGTACTCATAGAGATCCTCCTGCCTCAGCCTCCCGAGTGCTGGGATTACAGGCGTGTGCCACCACGCCCGGCTGATAATCTTTTCAATGAATGATACTGAAATAATTTGACATCTATGCAACAAGGGAAAAACAACCTTGTTAAAAAAAAAACCTCAAAATGGTTCATAGATGTAAATGTAAATGCAAAACTGTAACACCTTAAAAATATATATACTATATATAGAGAGAGGGAAATCTTCCTGTTCTAGGGTTAGGCAAGGAGTTCTTACATGTGGCACTGCCGGGGATTTAGCTCAGCGGTTCGGTGGCCTGCCTTGCAAGCTCAAGGACCCGAGTTCGATCCCCGGTACCAAAAAAAAAAAAAAGACTTGCAATTAAATGTGGTACTAAAGGCAGTTAAAAAAAAAAAAGACAGATTAGACTTCAATAAAATTTAACACTTTTGCTCTGCAAATGGCGTTGTTAAAAGAATATACAAGACAAGCTAAAGACTGGGAGAAAATAATTGCAGATTTCATACCCAGTACACAATTTGTATTCAGAACATGTAATCAACTCAAACTCAACACCAAGAAAGTGAATAACTCAATTTAAAAATGGGCAAACTACTTGAACAAACAATTCACTCCAAAGGACACTTGGATGACCGGTGAGCACACGAAGGAATGTTTCACATCAGAATCTTCTCATACAAAAACTTGAACACAAATATTTGTAGCAGCTTGCCAAGGGCTGAGCCTGAAGATGGTCCTTCGCCTCCTCCCTACTCTCCTTATCTTCCCTGCTCCCTTTCTCCTCCACAGATTAGACTGTAGACCCTGGAAGGCACAGCCCCAGGAGACAGTTACACTATGTAGCCTTCTCCATTGCCTTCCCGCCTAGGCCCCATCCTGAAACAATCACGCTAGGTTCTGCCTAGGTCACATAGCACTTTTTGCCCCGTCTCTCTCCCCGTTTGCCTTCCATTATGAATAATGAGTGTGTGGGACTCCAGGCAGCCATAAGCTCCTGACAAGCCATGGTTCCGCCTGGTCCCAGCTTTCAAGGATAGTCTTTGATTCTTCATTTTTTTCTCCATCTCCCACCGCGCTCCCTGGCTCCAGATCCTAGTTGTGTGGATTGCAGCAGCAGCTCTATTAATAATGGTTACAAAGTGGAAACAATCCAAGTATCTCTCAAAAGGTCAGTGTGTAAATGATCTGTAACACAGTCACGCAATGGAATCCTACTTGGACATAAAAAGGAGAGATTTCAAAGGTTTATACCAGTCTCAGAAGGTTACATGCTCTTTGTTCCCATTTACATGATATTCTCAAAATCACAAAACTAATGAAAGGCAATAGTGACGCTCAACAACGAGGCCACACACACAACGATAGGTCCGACTGGAGATTTTATTCAACGGGCGGGAGGAGAGAGAGAGAAAGAGAGAGAGAGAGGAAGAGAAGAAGAGAACAAAGAAAGGAAGGTCCTTTTATTGGTTTTGGGCTGGGCTATTGCTTATTCATGAGGAGTGGGATACTTCTAACCTATCACAGGGCAGGTTGCCTTTTATGGATTCAGCTCTGCAGAAACAGTTTTCAACTTCTCTGTCTCGCTGTGGCCTTGGTGGGAGGGAAACTAAAGATAAGAGCATGAAGTCATTCTAAGAGCCAAGAAGTACCAGGAAAATGCAGCCTGTGCTGGCGGCGTCACAGCATACTCTAACATGATCAATTCCCTAACAACTAAAGTGATAGAAGCAGAACAACAGTTATAGAGCTGGGAGAGAGCATGACTATGAAGGAATAGCAACATTGAATTTTGGAAGTGATGAAACTGTTCTCTGTGCTGATTGTGGTGGTGATTACATGAATCTATAAAAGTGTTAACATATATAGAACTCTACATTATCCCTAACAACATGTTACTGCATGACACATTTTTAAACATTTGAAAGGTAACATAACATAATGTGCTACTTCCAAAGCAGTAGGAAGAAAAAAAACAAGACCAAGGAAATAGGACATCAGAAGGAGGAACAGCAAGTATCCAAATGAGCAATGACTTGAGGCCAGAGGCTAGTGGCTCCCTCTAGGGTAGAAGTGAGAGGCTTAGGGGGAGGCAATGTCTTACTTTTTTTAAAAAAGCTGTATGAGACAATCCAAGTGTCCATCGACACAAGAATAGGTAAGCAAAATGTAATATATACATCAATTCCATTAAGCAATTCCATAAGGAATAAGTCCTAAGACAGGTTACTGCATTGATAAATCTTGAAAACATAATGCTACATGAAGGAAGCCACAGACATAAAAGGACAAACATTGCACAATTCTAGGAGGAGGCAAGCCACCAGCTGCAGCCCAGGGCTTGGGTTGCTGCTCCACAGTTCTATGTATTCCACTATGTTTTGAGCTTCTGATGTGCTCTGGGGAGAAGCCAAGCAATGAAAGCCAAGGAAACTTCTGATCGGAGAGGGCAGAACTGCCCAGAGTGGCATGCACCACCCCACAAACATCTTTATGAAGTCCGTGAGACGCTCACCCACTCCCCATTCCCTTGAGGCAGAGGTTGAAGGCCACTCACCAATGCTGGCTGAGGTGTACTGGTAGGGCTCTGAGAGGAAGTGTGGCAGGGTGAGGACGAAGGCACCTGCAGCCAGCAGGAGACCCCCAATGCCAATCAGTCTCGGTCGGTTTACCCGGCTGCCAAAGTAGCTAACAAAGATGATGAGGATGGCATTGCTGATCTGCAGAGAGAGAAGAAGGGTGGAGTGTGACCCCAGAGGAGACCTGAGCAGACCTTCTCAGGAAGACTACAGTGGGAGGATGCTTCCTGATGGTAGCGGGCACTAACAGAGCCACCCTCGCCTTGTCCCAGGGGCCTCAGCGTCAGCCATATACTAGTAGTCTCAGCTTTCCCTCTGTCATCAGAAACCTGTCACCACCTTCCAGACCAGCCCAAGGGAAGTAAGTACGTATCTGGAGGTATGAAGGACTTGGGTTAAAAACCACCCATTTTCCCTCAGATCTTTTGGGGGAAAATTCAAGGAAGTCTCCAATTCTGGCTGGCTCCTAGGAATAGTACATGTTCCCTAGTAAAACCCTAGGTCAAATATCTTAATGAAAGGACCCAAGGGCTCTGAATTGGCAGGCAGAATAACAACCAAGCAACACACATTATCTCATTTCGCCATGCAACAATCCTCACTTCACAGATGACAAATATTAAGTAACACGTCCACACTCATGAGGTCAGGAGGTATCTTAAACTAGGGTCGTCCGACTTTGAAGTGCCCTGACTTCATGACAGTGGTCTGCTGCCTCTTGGAGAAGTGGGTTTCTGCCTTAGCAGCTCTGCTTCTAACCAGTCTCTGCCCTTCCCTGGGCCTGTTTTCACTTGTGTAACATGAGGGACGAAGACCACAGTGCTCCCAAGTTCTGCCCTGGCTGGAAACATTGGTTATTCTATGTTTCTGGGGCTCCCTGGCAGGTGAGCTCTCTGGCCCTACCTCTTTAGCCCTTTCCCTCTGCAACTTTACTTTTCTTCATAGCACTTATCATAGTCTGACCTACTAGAAGCTTCCTTGATCTTTATAAATAAATATTACATTTATCCTTAGACTTTTGACTACTTTTTCACACTGTCTCCCCAGCACATGGTACAGTTCTTTAATATGTGTCAAGTCAGTGAAGGAATGAACAACACAAGCAGACTTTTCAGGAGAGGACACAGCTGTCCGGGAACCCCTGCAGTGTGGCTGTGGAACCCAGAGAAGCATGTGATGAATCAGCCTCGAGTGCCAGTAACTTCTGCTCCAGCCTCTGGCAGAGGTGGTTCCTGGACATTCTGAAACTTGTGCCTGGAAAGAGCTTTACTCTTGGGTTTAGATTTCACTTCTTTCCTTCTTGCTCCTCTCTCATTTTCCACGAAGTGATGGACCAGGAGGAAGGGCTGCAGCCTGTTCTTCACCTATCTGCAAAGGCCTTCTGGCTCTTCTGGGGCCTGGGTGTGCTCCTCTGTGAGAAGCTGGCACTCCCTGGTATTGGGACCGATCACCTCAAATGTTTATTCACCAGCAGAATCCCTTTGAAATTTTAAATTCCATAATAGCAAACATACCCCCAAACGGCAGCTGTTCTAGCCAGGAGAACAAGGGCACAGTGCTCTCCCCTCAGCCTGGAGAGCCTTTCGAAAAGGCTCTCTGGGCTTGATGGGAGGCCATCTGAAAGCCACCACAAGCCCATTAGTAACACACCCTGCCCTACAGAGTCTCCATCCCCAGAACACCAGTGGCCGGCATTAAGAGCCAAACCTCCTGGGCTCCTACTTACCTTGTTTGCTCTGCCCTGGCTGTCAGGGTAGACAACAGGAGCTGTCAGTTCCCAGGGCCAAGAGTTCCTGACCTCACTTGTTCACCAAACTGTTCCTCCTGCTTGTGAATTTCATACCCAGCCTGCACCCATACCACACCTGCGGGCCCCAGAAGGCTTTCTGAGAGTGATCTGATTTCTCAGACTGACTGGCCGGTGTGTCACTCAAACTCACTGTAGGCTCCATGGCCTGGAGGGCCTACCATCCTCTGCAGCAGGCTGCAATCTTCTCACAGCCTCAAGGTATACACACATGCACACATGCACACATACACATACACACACGAAGTCACACACATCATCACACACAAATACTTAAACACTCATATATACACAGAGACACACAAATATACATGCAGGCAGACACATGGTCACACACAAACCCTCAGACACCCACAGATGTGGGGTTATGCACACACTCATAGTCATACACAAATACTCAGACACACACACATAGACATACATAGACACAGACAAACACACACAGACACACATCGACACACTCAAATACAGATATAGATGAACACATGTCATGCCGACACACATTTACATAAAGGCAGAAAGACAGACATACAGACAAAGACACACACACACACATAGCCACACATACACACAGACACAGTCACAAAAATCGAGACAGGTACACACACACACAATCCCATACACAGAGACGTACATTCACACACACACATACATGGTTAGATACATAGTTATACATAAATACCCAGACACCATAGTCACACACACACACACACACACACACACACACGCACGTGACTGTTGGGTCAGAGAAATGAACTCTATGATGGTATTCGCCTTAAATTGTGCCCACAGGCATGATCTTGAAAAGATGAGATTCTTGAAAATGTATCTGAGCTTGGGAAAGAGATTTAATGGTTACTTTCAATTTGGTTGAACCATAGCTGTGAGGAAGTATCACGGCTCTTATTTGCCTAATCAAGTTTCTGTCTCAAATGGACCTGCACACATCCCAGCTGCCTACTCCTTGCCCCTGGAAAGCATTCAGCTATTCCTTGGCTCACACTTTCGTTCTGAGCACGGTACAATATGGATGAAAATTTAACCACGAGAAGTCACGGCTTTGACTATCATCAGGGCTGAGCTGGAAGAGAGGATACCTTAGGTGCCAGCTCTGATCTTCATTGGTAGAGGGGCCTGGAACAGCGGGATGGGAAGGATTAGGGGGCTGTGTCTGGACTCAGTAGGAGAGAGGACTCCTAGGAAGTGATGAATGGCTAGCAATGCATGTCAGGCCATGGGACTGGACTATGGTGACACAAGTCAGAGATTTGTTTCCTTGTGTCTGTCATAAATGAGGACATGAGCCAGGGCATTAGCAAAGTCAAAAGCCAGCGTTAAGAGAGTACATTGTGTGTCCCGATGCAGAGAGCAGCCTGTGCCTTAGATGCACACCCAATCCCTATTCTGCTCCTCTCAGCCCTGTGGTCAGTGTCCTGCATAAGTGGGGACAGTGGCCCAGTACATGCTCTCACCTCGTTCAAGCTGGAAATGAGGCCTGAGGAAGAACTGGAGAGCCCAAAGCGCTTCTCAATGGTGGTGAGGGTGCTTTTGAAGTAGGCACTGTATAGGAGCTGGCAGAGCTGCAGGAGGCCGTGGCAGAGCACAAATATCTGAGGAAACAGAGAACGTGCTGTGAGGCCTGCGTACAGCAAGTGCTGGCCCCACCAAGCCTTCTATCCTGGTGCCTTTGTTTCCCCATCTGTCACATAGGAACATTTACTTTATAAAGTGGTCGGAGGGTGAAATGCCATTGCTACTACACCATTGTTCCCCCTGCTAGAGGTGGAAATGTTAGCCACTCCTATCTTTATTGCATCTTATCACAGTTATTATAAACAGCCCAGTAAAACTACAGGAAAAGACTTTCCCAGGGGACAGGCCTGACACCAGCCAAGCATCTGTGGCACGTTCCAGCTTGGATGCCTCTCCAGCAGCGCCCCAGTGCCACTGTGGACTGCTGGTCTGCCTTCCTCCTCTGCCTTTAGAGGTTCAAGGCTACTCCCCATCCAATTCGTACCCCTCCCAGCAGCACAAACAAGTCCTAGGTCACGTTGCTCCACTTCTCTTGACCTCCAAGACCCAACTCTTACTCCTTCAGTAAGACAAGGCAGTGCTAGCCCCAGACCACCTGGTTTGAATGAGTGTCTCCTTTCACATCCGCACCGAGCTTATAACCACTTCTTATCAAGGATATCTGCTTCTCATCAGGGGCAGCTGTGATTGGATTCGTTCTCCTCTGGAGGCATGGTCAACGCCTTGGGGAAGGGACTCACTGTATCCCACACTGTCCCCTAGGACCAGTCCTGTGAGCCCTGAGTCGATGTGAGTTCCTCATCTGACAGGACAGACACATGTCTAGCAGGGGAGGGGAGGGATTTGATGGCATCCTTGGTGAGCACCAGGCTGAGCCCTGTACCCTCTTGTTCTGAGCTGTTGGACCAGGCCTGATCAAGGCCTAATCCAGGAGTCCCACATCCCCAAGCAGCCCCTGGCGGGTACCCTTCTGGATCACTTTTCCTCCAGGGAAGGGTGGGATGCTGTTACATTTCATAGTTGCCACAGTTCTTCCCTTAATTGAAAGCTTGCAACTCAGAAGAACAGCAGGGGCTCTACTTTTGATTCTATTTCCTTCCAAAGTTGAACGTACCTCTTTGTACAGGCCCTTGCTCCAGGCTGTGCAGTTTCCTACCTGTGAGGGCTCAGCCACCCTGGGATTTCTGACAGAGTCCAGGATTCACTGCCTGTCCATGCATCCATACTCGCAGCCTCCAAATCTGAAGGGTCATTACACCCAGGAAACTAGATGCCTCTCCAGGCTGCCACCTACCTCTGAGGCCTGCAGACATCTCACCCTTCACCAGCGGCAGGAGGAAGCCTGCCTGCCTGGGAGCAGAGGCGGCACCACTGCAATTCACTTCATACATTACATTTGTCTTAATATTTTGTGATAAAGGTATTGTCGAAATCATCTTGTCTCACTTTTTCTTCACAGAAAGGGAAACTGAGGTCCAGAAAAGGGGAACCTGAGTGCCTAGCATTATAACGGGCATTTTTAGAGCTTAACTGTCAGTCACTTGAGATGCTTGGGGCCAGCTCCCCTCTCCAGGGCCCTTGATTTCCCCAGTGGTGAGGTAACTGGTTTAAATCAATGGATGTTAACTTAGTTTTGAGTCAAAATTGCCTGAATGGAGGAGCCAGAGGTATCTTTGAAGTAGTCTAGGCCCAATCCAAGACCAGCTGAATCAAAACTGGTGAGGGTAAAGTCATTAATAAAAGTTCCTCAAGCAGAATCTGGTGGGCAGAATGGGTAACAATTGCTGGAGTAGAGGACACATTCTGGCCCCGAGTATCTATGTGCAGAGGGTAATACATGGGACATTAGAAAGGAAAAGCAAAACAAACAGAGAACTCCTCTAAATTAGAGGAGCTTCCATTATGGGCAGAAGGGAGGACAAGAGCCTTGGAACAGGGTTTTTGGAAAGCAGCATGTGATGATGATGATGAAAGTGATGATGGCGAAGGGATGGGAACAGTGAGGAAGATGAAGGTGATGCTGATGGTGGTGGTGATGGTGATGGTGGTGTAGTGGTGAAAATGGTGGCGATGGCGGTTGCGATGGTGAAGGTGATGGCCAAGGTTCTGGGGTTTGTTAATGTCTCATTGATTTTCAGGGCACTGAAGCACACTCAAGTCCAGATTAGTTTCTGAGTCTGGCCAGAGTCAGGGAGGCAGTTTAATCTCAAATGCCTTGACAATTTTCTTCCTTTGACCACCCTTAAAGGCTAATTCCCACAAGACTCTATAGTCCCCTTCTCTGGACATGCTCACGAACAATCTCATTTGCCCATAAGATAATGCATTGTACCCAATCTCAGTTCCACTTCCAGAACATTCCCTGGAGCTCCCTGCTCAGGACCACCCCACAGTCTGCTGGCCAGGTCCTCCTGAGTATTCTCAGACCCCTCAGGTTAATCACTTCTTGAATGGGACTCACTGTCTTCCCTCATAGACCCCTGATCTTCGGACTTCATTCCCTGTCACCTTCTCTTAGTTTCCAAGTTAGAAACCAGGAATTCTCCTAGATGCCCTCCCTCTCCCAACCCTCATTTTTACTCTATTGCCAGATCCTATAATTTCTTTCTGGTTTCTCTCATATTTGAGCTCTGTTCTCATCTCCAAGTATATGCCTTGACTCAGGTTCTTACCATGTCTCCCCTGGAGACATATGTGATTATCTCTCATGGGTCTCTTATCTGCCTGCTCCAAATGTTCCACCAAGTCATGAGAGAGAGAGAGACAGAGAGCGAGCGAGAGAGAGAGAGAGAGAGAGAGAGAGAGAATCTCAAAGGCTTATATGAACAGATAGTTCCCAAATCAATGTTTCATCCCAGCTCCTAGTTACTACAAGACAAAATCCAACACCCTTGGTGTGATATCCTTGATGCTACAGATCTACACCCTGCCTGCCTGCCACTTGACTGCATACCCTGATGAAACAAGTCACATTTTACAAAGATGGCCATATTAATATCCCCCAACTACATGCCCTTCATGCAGCATGACTGCGACACTCCTTCAGGAGGCAGAGAATATGCTCTCATCCTTTGAATATTATCCAGTCTTGAGTACTTGCTTTTAATGAGAATGAAACAGAATGCCATGTGACCTCTGAGGCTCGGTCCTCATTACGGGTAGAGAACCTGCCTGGCTCTTATTCCCTTAGCATCCTTAGAACTCAAACATCACATTACAAGGAAGCCCAGCTGTCTCTACACATGGGAAGGCTATATGTTGTTGTTCAGCTAACAAGTCCAGATAAGGTTTCAGCCTTTGGGCAGAAACATCTATCAGGCATGTTACTGAATGAGTCCTCAGAAGTTTTCTGTCCCAGCATTTGATGCCACGTGGAGCAGAAGTGAGCTCTCCCCCACTGAGCCCAGATTGCAGGCTGACTAGAAAACCAAAGGCTGCCATGGTTTGAAACACTACATTTTGGGTTGCTTTGGCATTGAGCATTGGAGAGCTGCAAGACTTGCAACTATGTACCTTGCCCTTCAAACACCATCAAGGTTGCACTCTCCAAGGTCCCTAAAGTACACACACTTTGTCCGTGTTTTTGCTCACAATCTGCACAGAATCATCTTTCCCTTTATAGCGTGGATTACTGCCCTCCTCTTCAGAAGCTCAGTTGTGTGTCTAGTTCATAGATGCTTCTAAAACTCTAGTTCCCTGTTGCTGACTTCTGCACAGAGGCATGTGCAACAGGGTCCAGGAGCAGAAGTGTCCATCAAGAGGAAAGGACAGTGAGTTCAGTTTTGGAGCACTTCAGTTTCTGATTAAACTCAGAAAAGACCAATCTCTCTCCATCCAAATTAGTAAGAAATTAACATGGAATGACTAATCATTACCAACTTCCTCAGCTGTCTCATGAAAGGAAGATGGGAAGGGTGGGAGAGAAAAATCTACCTCAGATCTTTTCCCGAAAGATTTGCCTTGCTGTTTCCAGTAAATACAGAAATTTCCCATCTCTTCCCCTGAGCCACTAGCTGGAAGACTCCAGCAAGACTGAACTGGTACCTTTGTATATCCCTCATTCCTTGCAGAGCCAACCTCACCACCAGCTCTTGGTCACTGCAGCCACATAGGGCCTAGGTACCTCATGGGTGCCCTGGCAGAAATGCTGGTATAGATCTGGGGCCTCCAGGACCCTTTGGATGCAGCAGATAGTGTGGCTTCAGAGAGCAAAGAGCTGGAGAAAAATGCCAAGAGAAGAGAAAGTAGTAGATTGATGGTTCAACAGAGCTTTTTGGCCAGGGTCCCTCTGGGTCATATGTAGCCTCACATATGGCTTTATGTGGGTAAAACCACAGGACCATGATTCTGGCAGCTCAAACCTTTTGAATACCTGTTTTGTGGCCAGCAGGAGATGGGGCAAGGGAACTCCAGCACAATGCAAAAGAATGGAAACCTAACCCTGGAGAAGGACACAGGTTTAAGAGTACATGGAATGTAGTGCATAGTGGTGCAAGCCTGTAATCCCAGGGGCACTATGGAGGCTGAGGGAGGAGGATCACCAAGAGTTTGAGACCAGCTTGGGTAACATAGCGAAACCTTGTCTCAAACAAAACAAAAAAGTTCAAGGAGATGGACTGGTTTGGTAAAAGCAAGGAAAGGTGTGCTAGTTGGGCTGCAATGCCCACATCCCATCGTGAAGGCAACACAGTGACCTGGGTTTTGATGGTTCAAGTTTTGGAGTCAAAGAGGCCCAGGTTCAGATTCTGACTCTGCACAGGAAGGGTAGGACTTGCTGCCACTGACTTCATCACTCTGAGCAAAAGTTTCCCCAACAGCAAAAAGGAACTCATTCTAACATCTGGGTTGCAAGGGCTGTACCAGAAAATGTAGTTACAGCACCTGGCTCCCTGCCTGGCCCACATGGAGAGAATCAGTAAATTAAGCAAGATGCCACCTATCCCCCAGGAATTTAAATTCTCTGTTAGTGTTCTATTATCCTGTGACATAAGAAATCTAGAGTTTCCTGTAGTGTTCTATGGAAATGCTTGAGATGCTCCAAATCAACAGGATTCCAGGGGACAAAGTTTGAAAAAAG